TATGAGGCAAATAAATAAGTATCTATGGCAGAAAACCAAAATGATAAAAAGCAAGTGCAGCAGAAATGCCTGCGGGGTGGGGGGAGGCACCGCTCACTTTTGAGCTACTCCTCAGGATCCAAATAAACAGCAAATTCACCACCGGAGATATTAGCTGGATGGGGTATTTTTTAGTACTTAAGGAAATAAAGCGATCAGTCATTTAGCATTTTTTAATCCCGAAATAAGGGAATACCTAAATTATCTTGAACATGTTAGCACTCATGGCCCTCAGCATCTAAAAATCAGCCTGGCCAAGCAACTGCCACATTTCCTCGCAACAGTGAGAAGCGCCTTCTTTAAACTCAAAATACCTTGCCTAATGTTGTCAAAGTTGACAAATTTTCTGAATGAGCTCCAAAAAGCTTCATTATGAGGCTATTTCTGCTCACAGAATCGTCAGTGGATGCTTTAACGAGGCAGACTCGGCTCTCTTTTCTGTTGGCTTTTTTTTTTTTTTACGTTACATTTGCAGAAAAATACCTTGGCAATCTCTGTGCAGACTCCACCGCCATCGCCTTTCACAAGGGGGGAAAAAAATAAATACGAGCAGCGTGTTGGTGTTCCTCTGTCTGCGCAACACAACACGCACGCTAACAGCAGCGAGCAGGAGGAGAGGGTACTACAAATACAACCCACCTCAAAACACTGCCAGGTAACGCAAGAGAGACAGAATACAACTCCTAAACAGTTAATCAGCCTGACCTTCTTTAGCTGGCTGCCAATTTCACATTTAATGAACTTAAAGCCACAGAGAATCAAAAAATAGATTTTAATTTGACTGCACAATATTGGAACTGATTTTGATAAAGTGCAAAAATCCAGTGAACTCAGGTTAAATTTATTTCAACCCTACCTAGGCTGAATATTGAGGAGGAAGATCTGGAGTAGCTCCCAGTTGTGCTGCGTAAAATAATATTGAAAGAGCACACTACCTCGCCGTACCTCAGCTCCAACTAGGACACAGGGATCCAGTCCATCATTTCTTGCCTCTAGTACTACTTCTAATTTAACGTAAGGTCAACCACAGGAATATGAAGGTTACATTCGTATTAATAAAAACAATGTCTTAATCGCTGGGGCTTTCTCCTAAACTTACAGACCGGCAGGAGAGGAGGCACAGCGTGCGTGTCTCGCTCCTCCTCGGGAAGCCGGCACGGGAGCAGGCTGCTTCTGCGGGATTGCCGGGCACGGCGTTTTTCTCCCCAAGCCGTCCCTCGCGTTCGGACCGAGGGAGTAAATTATCGCAGGACTAATTCCACCGGCAGCTCGCTGCTCGCCGCAGACAAAGGTATTTTGCGGATCCAACTTCGGCTCTCCGCAGCAAGAAGACACAAAACCACCCGTGCTCCCCTCGCAACTGGCTCAGCGAGGAGCTCTGCATAATCATTACTCAATTATAATGTTTTCCCGCGGCCTGATTCCTTTCTGACGCTGTCACTATTATTTAGCAGGGGAAGGTAACCCGCTGCTTCGACACCAGACAGTTAAAAGTGGCACTGAACAAAAATAGACTTTGCTAAAAGTCTGTACAGGCTGGGCTGATTTACAATCAAAACCAGGAAATGAAGTGGTAATTCAGAGGTTGCTGATTACACCTCCACATTTCACCTAATTAATTTTATAGGAGGCAAAGTTCTTGAAAATAACAAGATGATCAAATGTACAGATATAAAACCTGTAACCTCAACATTTTCTATGCTCTTAACGTAAATTATTGCTAATTAACAAGAATTATATACTAATGTATGAAATACGGCTGGCACTGTGTTCGCTGCAAAACATTTGGCTCCTGATGGAGGCAGAGCCAGCAAAAAAAAAAATGTTTTTTATTATTACTGCTACTTTTAGAACATAATATAAAATACCGGGATCACAAAGAAAACACCAGAATACATTTCACCTGGTCTTGCCTCCGATTTGCAGGATGCATCTTTTAATTCTGGGGCAATCAAAATTCCCTGCCTGGGTCCCTAATCATCCGTCTCTATTTTTCATGCAAATTGCCCTTCCACCAACATGTCTTTTCAGCTTTCCCCCTTCGCCCTCCTACTCCCCCCTTTTTCCCCCTGTTCCCAGCCACCAAAACAACCGCACCGGCAAAAGAGGGATGGATTTTGGAGTGCCGGGAGAAAGGAGGTACCGGGGGTGATGGGGCGGGGAGGGGGGTGCCACAGGACGGTGAGGAGAAATGCCCGCGGGGCAGTGCGGATGCGCTGCCGGGGCATCTCCCCGCACCGCACCGTGGGAAGGATGGAGAAGGGCTGTTCAATCCCAAGTTTGTGTCTTCGGATCGTGCGGTGCGAGGAAAGGGAGACTTGGGGGTACAATGGGAACCGCCAACACGTTACGGGGAGGGAGGGGAAACCCGGGGAGGGGGAAGGCGAGCATCCCCCGCTGCCTCCCGGAGCAAGCAAACTCCGCGCGCGCCCTCCCCCTCCCGCCGGCCGGGAGGCAGCGGAGGAGCCGGCCAGGTTCAAGTTCGCGGGGCTGCCCGGTTGTTTGATCTCGCTGTGCCTCCTAGCGACCGAAGCGGGCACGGATCCCGCCCGCCGCCTCCGCCGCCCCGGCCCCGGCCCCGCCGCCGCATCCCCGGCGCGCCGCTCCCCCGGCCCTAAGCGGCCGCGGGGATCCCGCCCGCCGCCGCTGCCCCGGGGGCCGAGCCGGAGCCCCCCGCCCCCTCCTCCGCTCCCGCCGCGATCCCCGCTCCCGGCACCCCGCTTCACGGCTGCCCGGGGAAAGCACCCCCGTACCCCATTTTCCGGGGGAGGGGGCCCATCCCCATATGCCAGTGATGCTGCACCCCATCCCTAGCCAGGCAATGAAAAAAAAAATTAAAGAGAAAAAAAAAAAAAAGGCTCCCCGAAAAGTATCGACGGCGGGGGGAGGGGCTGAGCCCCCGACACACCCCGGGGTTCGGGGCAAACTTTGGGCAGGCAGAGCCCCCGGCCGGCCCTGCCCGCGGCGGAGCAAAGAGCGGGCGCTGCTTCCCTCGCTCCATGTGCGAACCTGGCTGCAGTGCCTGCGCGGCCGCGGGGGAAGAGAAAGCGCGGCGGAAAGTTTGGGGGGCTTTGCGAAGGGCCGAGGGAGCCGGGGATGGCTGGCAGGAAGAAACGGCCCTGGGTTTTCTGCCGTCCCTGGGAGGGAACAAAACCCGCCGGGAGTAATGGGAGAGAGAGAAAGGAAGAAATAAAGAAAAGGTGGGGAAAGGAGTGAGGAAAAGCATGCAGCATTTCCCCTTCCCCCAGGCTCACCCCGAGGAAAAGAGAATTTTTTTTTTTCTCCCTTCCTTCCCACCCCCCTCGCCCCAAACCTTTCCAGCTCGAGTTGCCTTTTGTTGTGCAAAGAGCGCTCCCGCTTATCTTGCATCTAGCCCTGGTGTGTGTGGTGGCGGCTGGAGGGAGGGACGGAGGGAGCCGGAGAGTTTTTGTTGCGAACGGTGTGGTGGGGCTCGGGGTTTGTTTTTTCTCTCCCGGGGAGAGCGGATTTGGTTTGGGGTTGAAATGCGGCGGCGAGAAAGGGCCGTTCGCGGGTGTGAGGGTGCGAGTGTGTGTGTGTGTGCGTGCGTGTGTGTGAGCGCGCGTGTGTGCTCAGCCCGGGCTCGCTCTCGCCTGTGTTTGTTGGCAGGAGGCTCCCCGCACACGCGGTGCTTGTAAACATTCAGACACGAGATTTTTCCCAATCAAAATCCACTTCCACTTTTTTTTTTTTTTTTTTTTTGAAAATCTTCCAAAAAATAGTAAGCGAGCGGGAGAACGCGAGGCGAGGGCGAGGAGGGAATCCCAGCCGGCGCGGCGCGGCTCGGCTCGGCTCCCTCGCCGCCCGGTGCCGTCCCCCGCCCCAGCCCCAGCCGGAGCGGCGGCGGGGCGGGGTGGGGCGAGGGGGCGAGCCCGCCGGCAGCGCGGGGGGCTCCGGCCGCCGGACTTTCTCCGCGCTCCGCTCGCCCGCACATCCCGCCCGCCCGGCCACCGCCGTGTCCGGCGTGCAGCCCCGCCGCTCCCGCAGGAATTTCTTCCCACTTTCGGCCGGCTGTGCCCCCGGCAGCCCTGCACCTCGCCCGCGCCTCTCCCGGTGCCGGGCGAGAGCTGCCGCGCTTGCCGCCAAAGAGCGCGGAGAGCGGGAGGCGAGAGGCGAGCGCGGAGCGGGGCAGCGGAGTGCGCGCCGGAGGGCGAGGGGCACGGGCAGAAAGAGAAGAAAAGTCATCAAGGTGATTAAATTAGAGAGGGAGAAATTACCCGGAATGCTGAGAATCCCGAGCCGGCGCTGAGTTAATTTTTTTCCCCGATTCGCTCACTCCCTCTCACTTTTAATTTTTTTTTTTCCCTGCTTTCGCTCGAATTAAAAATTAAATCCGTGAAGGGGAAATTAAATAAATTGCTCTCCGGGTTACTTACGTGAAAATTCCCGTTTGCTTAAGTGCTGGGGTTTGCCTTGCTTGCGGCGCGACATGGTGGGTTGGTGGCTTCGGTGGCTTGTGAGTCGCTCGGTTCACATCGGGAGAGACGGGTTAGAGAGGAAGGAGACTCCAGAGAAAATATCTTCATCAATGTCTTTTGACATCCAAAATAAATTAGAAATAATACAAAGATGGCGCAGGGAAGATGAATTGTGGGATAGCAGTCATGGCTTTTTTTTTTTTTTTTTTTTTTTTTTGTGCAAGGAAAAAAAAGAGAGAGAGGGAGAGGGAGAGAGAGAGAGGGAGAGAGAGAAGGAGAGAGAGAGATGAAAAAAATGGCAAAAGCCCCCCTGAGCTGCAAGTTCAAGTGCGGACGTGACGTCCCTGCGAACTTGAACGTCAGGAGCCTGGATGGACAGAGACATACAAAACATGGGCAGGGCAAGCCGGGGAGAGGGGAGGAGGGAAGGCGAAGGCAACACCAATGGACACTCATCAGGGGCTGGACATGAAAAAGAGAGCAGGACAAGCCAATGGACAGTGATCNNGACATCTAGGCTGCCGAATGGAGCCCGGGGGCCGGGGGCGGAGGGGGCGGCGGCCGGAGCCGCGAGTGGGCGCCGAGCAGCGGGTGCGAGAGGGGACCCCGGAGAGGGGCGAGGGGGGGAAATTAAACACGCACACGGGGAGAGAGAAGGGAGGGAAAGGAGCGGGAGAAAGCGAGCAGGCAGGCAGGCAGCGGCAGCTCTCGCACGCACACCCCCGCTGGAAAAGCAAACACATCGGTGGAGGCAGAGCCGGGCAGAGAGGGCTGCGGGGCAGGCTGGCCGCGGGCTGTGCCGAGGAGGTGGGGGAGCTGGGGGAAGCCAGGTAGGACCGGAGACCACCCAAAAAGCAAGGGGGGGGGGGTGCATCCGGCTCCCGGCTTCCCCGCTCGCCCCCCCCCATCCTCCTCGAAGCCGCCGAGTCCCCTCCTCCCGGGAGCTGCGGCCCGTCCCCGGGGGACGGCGGCGGCTCCGCGGGGAGCTGGGGGGCGGCGGGGGCTCGGGCCGGGCCGCGGGAAACTTCGGCGGCCAGCGGCGGCCCTTGCCCCGGGGCGGGCGGGGGAGCAGCGAGCGGAGTTTGGCGGGCGAGGAAGCGGCGGCAGGAGCAGGGCGCGGGGGGAGCGCAGGGCGGCGGGACCTGGCGGCTCTCCCCGCGGGCTGCTCGCTCCCGCCAGCCCCGGAGCCCCGCTTCGTGCCCCGGCGGCGCTCCGAGCCCTGCCCGCCGCCGCGGGCTCTGAGCGAAAGCGAAACGCGGGGCTGCCGGCGGCGGGGCGGCGCGGGCAGCGGGCTGGCAACGGGGGAGGGCGGAGAGGGGGGGAGCGAGGCGGCGGCAGGCACCGAGAAGTGCCTGGAGTTGGGAGGATGCGGCGGCGGCAGCGGCGGCAACTTCGCCGAAAGGAGCCGGAGCGAGGCGGACGCTGCCGGCGCCGGGAGGGATCAGGTTGCGGTAGAAATAAGCTCTGGAGGCGAACGCGTGTGCGGAGCAAAGTGCGGCTGCGGGAGGGAGTGCGAGGGGCTAGCCGTGCCCGGGACGGCGGCGGACAGCCGGAGCGGAGAGCCCGGGGGAACGAGGGGAAGACTTCGCCGGGCAGAGGGGGCGGCGGGGGCCGGGGCTCGGCGGGACCTGTTGGCGGGGCGAGCCCCGGCGCGGAGCTGTCCGGCTCCGCCGTGCGATGGTTTCAGCTTCCCGCCAGCCGCCCCCGGCTCCGCCCGCCGCCGCTCGGCCCCCCCTCGGCCGCCGCTCCCCTCCTGCATCCGCCGGCACCGGGATGCCGGGGCAGGGTGCGGGACGTGGCCGAGGAACCCGGCCGCAGGTGACAACAGCGGCGGCTGCTGGGCTGGCTGTGCCGGGCGGGCACATGTCCCTGCGCGAAACACGGGCGTGTGTGTCTGCACCGGAGATGTAGATATATATATATATGGGGCTTGATTTATATCTAATGGCACGTATAAAGCTTTTGAAGGTGGCTGCAATGTAAAAAGTAATGACTTTATTACCCCTGAAAGGTTCTGCGGTTCGCAGTTAACACTCCTCTGAATTACAATTCATTACGCTCTCTAAAGCCAACCTGCATCAGAACACCTACCTGTGCTTATTCCCAATCACAGGCGTCGTTTCACTGATTTTCTTTTTTAAAAAATCATAGCAAATTAAGCACTTGGTGACAACTAAATCTGTTTCATTATCGTGCCGTGTTTGAGATTCCAGAGGTGACTTCCCAGACCGCATCTCAAAACCTACAGTCAGGAGCTAATTTTACAGATGCTTTCATGAATGGCAGCGAGGATGTTCTTACCATCAGCATGCCCTTAATTCCAGCACCGTAAAAATGCCTCGATTTAAATGGAAACTCGCTGCCTTAAAAATAATATTTCATCCTGGCTGGATAATTATTAATATTAGCATTTGATCGCAATAGTGCTGGCTCCCCCTCGTTCCTGTACCCCCCCCCACCCCACAGCGCTTCGCATTGTCATGTGATTGGAGGGAGATAACAAACCTCAAGAAAGAAAAGGAGTGAGAAGACATTTTTAACACGGCATGACCGCAGATTAATAATGCAGGTGGGTTTTTATTTCATTGTATTTTTAGGGGAAGGGAACGAGGCTGTTTAACGAGCAGTCGTGGACACAAAGTGACTGTATTTACAATCCTTGATGTGGCTTTCGGTGGGTAATAAATTATGACAATATTAAAATTATTTTCTGGCAGCCCAGTTAACTGCGCTGGGGACTGTAAAGCCCCTACTGATTCCATTTATGCCTTGTAATTGCGGTCCACGGTCTCGCTCTAAACCTTTTGGTGTATATTGTGTGTAAACTTTTAGCTAATAGACTTTTTTTTTGAATGGAGGGACTTTTCTCGGTACTTCCTGCCGTATACATTTTGTCTCTGATCTCTGTATTTAATGGCCAAGTCCTGGTTTATGCTTTATAATGTGTTGACAAGTTTTCTAACAGACTTTCTGAAATAATGCACATATATTCACGTCGGTTAGAAACTCCACAGTATTTTTAGAGTCGAGTAGATCTATATCCTAATGCACTGAGAGGGAGTGTAAATCATAGAGGATTTCATAGCCCTTTCAGTAGTTTTCTGTATGAAGTATGAGCAGCGTGGCCTCCAGACGTAACCTTTTAGAAAAAAAGACAGTGCTTTTATTTTATGGTGTAAAGTGCTTTTAGCTTCAGGGCTCTGAACGTGAATGTGGTCAACAAACAGCTCTTGCCAGGGAGTTTGCTACAGCCTCAGCCCGGGCGCTGTGCGGAGGGATGCGGCTGAGCCCCCGGCTGCAGGAGCGGCTGAGCCCCCCCGAGACAGGGACTGACCCCCCCGAGACACGGCACTCCCCACCGGCCCCCTTCCCGTGTCCTGGGCTGGGACATCCCGCGGAAAAGGGGGTGGGATGGCCCCCGGCGCTGGTGACGGCAGCAGGGTCGCTCCCGGGGACAGGGGCCTGAGCTGCCCCGGCAGAGACGGGGCCAGAGGGCACAGCTGGGGCTGGGAGAGCCCCGGGAGAGCTGCGGAGCAAGGGATGCACCCCACGACTGCACCTCCTGCATCTCTGCTTCCCAGCGCCTCTAGCACACCGAGCATCTCCAGCCCTGTCTGTACCTCCTGCACGCTCTTCCCCTGCTGGGTTGTACTAACAAACCCCCTGCAAGTGGCAGGTGAGCACAGAGAGAAATGGGGCGGGTGAAAACAAACCCAGGCCAGCACAGAAGATGACCCAGTGATCACGGTCTGTGCGCTGACACAGGCTTGTGTCACCTCCTGCCCCTCCACAGCCCTTCTCTGCCCGAGCTGCAGGGCATGCCTCGCTGCTGTCACCCTGGCCATGCTATCAGCTGCTCCTTGGCTACGGACTCCCAGCCCCAGAGCAAAGGCAGCTGGAGGAAATGTGGCCCTACACCTCAGCAAATTCCGAGGTGCACGCTGAAATCAGAGCCATGGTGGGAAGCTAGCCTTAGAGAAGGGTCTGTCTCATTAGCTGAGTGTCCATCCCACCTCAGGCTGTCCCATGTGAACCAGAGCCCTGAGGCACCAGCTCATGCCTGGAGCAGCTGAGAGCAGAGGTGGGCACCCATCCCTGTCCCTCAGCAATGGCAGTAACCTGCAGCAGCAGGACAGAGTGCCCAGGTGAGAACATTAATGCTGTAAGAATCAGTCTAAGATTTAAACCTGCCAAAATGTATCTATCCCTTTCCTCATACCTCAGCTCTCTGCCTGAGAAAAAGCATGGTCCTCCCTACATTCAAGCACCTGAGATTCTTAGAGGGTGGGGTAGAAAGGGACATAAAACTAACATTGAGAAGTGTGGCCTTCCTCAGTCTCACAGGCAGGCACCCAGGGCTGGGACCTGAAGGTGCAAAGGAGCGTGGCACAGTTCTGCTGTCCCTGCCTATCTGCTTCTTCAGTGACAGACTTGGCAGTGGGTGAGTTCAGCAACTTTGGTGGGCAAATGTTCCTGCTTCGAAGCTCCAGCTGTCACTCACTCAGAGCAGGAATCTCACTTGCCAACATTACAGAACACTAGGACCAAACAGAAATTCCAGAACTCTGCCAGATCCCGGGAGCTGGGCTGCGTTATGTAACGGCAGATCGCGCGGGGTGCTTTCCGACACCGGCTTGATAGCCTCAATCAGGCGGAGGCAACGTGGGTGGAACTCTTATCACACCAGGCTGGCTCCCGTGAATGAGCAGAGCACTTGCACGTTCTAGAAATAGTACGTGCATTAGTATTCCCGCAGGAGAAACTTGGGCGCGCTGCTTTGCCTTTTCTCATTTTTCTTTTTCTTCTTTTTTTTTTTTGTCTTTCCCCTTTTTAATAAAGGCTGAAAATAAACTGATTTTGCAAGCTCTTACTGGCAGGCACAGCACACACAGCAGCGAGTCCGTGCAGGATCACAGACATCTGAGCGCCAGGTGACAGAAAGATTTCGTTATCGGCTCGCCCTAGGCAGGACCTGGAATAAAACCCTGAACTTGGGGAGACTTTTTTTCCATGAGTTGTTCAGCGAGGCCTGGGATTTCAGCCTGCCTCTGCTTGCACAGCACCTAGCACGATGGAGCCCTGAACCTTACCTGCACTTTCTGGGGATCACTAAAATAAATGGCACAAAGTGCTCAGGGAACAGACTTTGAAGTGGCAAAAACCCTCCCTTGAAGCACACGAAGAGTTTTGCTTGTGTGTGGGCAGGCAGAGGAAGGCATTACTAAAAATCTCATTTTTAATCAAATGTTTGATTTCAGCCAAACTGGGTTTAGTTTGCACTACTCACTTGTCATATTGTAGGTTTAATATTTATACGTCTTTTTTTAAGTAAACATGTGACCTGCCCCTGAGCGTCTCTATGCTGCATTTCAAGCCAACGTGATTTAAACTATGTGCATTTAAAACCTCCCAGAACCTGACCTATAATGCAAATCCATACAGTCTTAATTATTGCAGCACCAGCAGCCACGGCACGAGTGAGGTAGCTGAGCTTTTGTTACTAAAGAGGCACGGTAGTTATGGTCTGTCAGTGCCCCTGTTACAATCCCCATCTTGAAGAGGTTATAACTTGGGCTGTGTAAATTTGATTGAGCTGAAACGTGGGACTCCAACTGTCAGTCCATATAGGGAATAATCTTATGAATAATTGGCTAACGCATTGCTTGATTCACAGACTTTCATAAAATGATTTTTAATGGGTTTTAATGTTTTTTTCTTTTACTGACATCTAGGGTATGAATTTGGTACTTCTAGCTCTTCCGAAGCTCCCTACTCAATGGAATATGTATGGATACCCCAGGTAAATCTACAGCTACCCTGAGGATTTCACAGGGCTCACCTGCCATCCTGACCCACCTGCGTGTTCCTACACACTGAGAAGAGGCCAGGAACAAGAAATGACACTTTAGTTATCTCCAAAGAGGTCCTAAATGTGTAAGATAAAGAGAACATAAATAAATATCTTTGCTAACAGTTTCTTGGAATCTTTTAATCTTCCTGGGTTTTATCTTCCCCCCAGAAATGTGTGGAAATGAGTCCTACCTGTGTGCTGGCATCACTTAGAAAGGGATGAGCCACTCAGCTTTGAATATTGAGCCGGAGTTTAAATAGGTTTGTGTTACAAAGGATTTTGCTGATAAATGCTCCCTACTTTTCCCTAGCTCCAGACTTCCAAAAGTCAGTTTTTATCACCTCAAATCACACTAAGACAAAGAGTGCATGTTTAGTTTAGATGCAGACTCAAGATTTTCCTTGACCCTACAGCAAAGAAAGCCCAGCCCAGGGCCAGTAATGATGGCTCATGATGACTCTCACAGAGCTGGATCCCAGAGTTTCCATGCCCCCCTCCCCACACAGGGAAGGAGCAGGAACACCTGAACTCAGGAGCAGCATCTCCATCTGTTTCAGGAAGAGTTTTGAGCAAGCCTGGCTGCAGCCTGGGGCTCTCACACTGCTGTGTCCTGTGCGAGCCATTCCAAAACAGTTCTGTGAGAAGCTGGGTGCTCCTGGGCACAGTGTCCCACACATCCACATCCCACATGTGTCTCGCCTCTCAGGAACCCAGGTGGCACAAGTTGGTCCTTCTGAGACACTGCTGAGATCCCAAGCCATGCATCTCAGCAAGGTCAGAATGTCCAAGCCTGTGAGCAGTAGGAAGGCAGGTCACTGACACAAACAGCTTGTTAAATTCCTGTTCTGACTTGAGCTGGTAAGTGCACTTCTGTGCAAGACTAGATCCAAGGGGATCAAACTCTCCCGATGAGGAAATCTGGAAAGCCCTACTCTGGATGTGGCAGGCAGGGAAAGGCAAACATTTTGTCTTGAAAAATAAATGCAGCTCTACCTCAAATCAATTTTGAAAAGTAGAATAACAAAAATAACTCACTAATCTGAGAAACTTGACATCAGTAATCAAAAAGAAATTATTTCTATTGAGAAATTAGTTTTGCTACACAAGATGAAGAAATATTTAGTTGACTTTTCTGCTGCTGAGCACAGTCCCTCCTTCCTAGCACACTTGGTGTGAGGGACAGTAGAAAGGACAGTGCAATAAAAAAGGATTTTCCTCCTCGACATCAGTAATCAAAAAGAAATTATTTCTATTGAGAAATTAGTTTTGCTACACAAGATGAAGAAATATTTAGTTGACTTTTCTGCTGCTGAGCACAGTCCCTCCTTCCTAGCACACTTGGTGTGAGGGACAGTAGAAAGGACAGTGCAATAAAAAAGGATTTTCCTACTCTAACTCTGCTTGATATAGCCCCTACTTGGCCTTGGGTACTGCAAAATTCTTAAGCACATATTTATCTTTGGGCACATCAGCTGTACTTACATGCTTAAAGTAAGCATGTACTCAAGCATGCTGTTAGATTGGTGCCTTAACATCTTCTGTAAATAACTCACATTGCTTTTTAGAGCTTCAACTTTTAGTCACGTGGAATGCATTGAACTGAAATTTAGCATACACAATCATCATTCTCTATATTCATTTTATATTACTATTTCAGGTGACATTTAGGTTTAGCTTTTAGCTTCAGCCAAGAAGAAATGCGCCTGCTTTGCAGAACATGACACAGTTTGTGTGAGGATCTTTTCTAGATGAAAAATAATTAATAGTTGAGAGAGCAGAGTCCTTTCTCTGTGCTTAAAAATAAGGACAGCTTTACTGTGGGTTTTCTCCTTTGCCATATTTATTCCACACAAAATTTCAGCTTAATTGTTAAAATGCTTACAATAATATTTTAATGCAACTCTCTGTAGTCAGAAGAATAAATTATTATATAGCCCAAAGCTGCACAGAAAGACACAGCACTGAGGGGGAACAGGAGAGGTGGTGAATAACCTGTGATAAGAGCCCACTTCTTTGAGCAGTTTGGATAGTTTTGCCACCATTTGTTATTGTCAGCACACATAATTCTGTCAGTGCAGTATGAATCCTGGCTGCAGTGAAAAGAATGCCTTCTCCCACCAGTATGAATAAGATTTCACTCAATTAAAATAACGTGCAAGTATATTGTATGGCATTACATAGAAAGCTGATGTGCATTAAGTATGAATGCTGGGGTTGGGGGGAGTTATTGTACTAATGCTATTGTTCACTCAGCAACTATTCCCCAGCATTTAAAAAAGCAGGGGAAATTAAATACAGAAATCAGAAATAAGTACAATGTTTGATATTACCATACTGAAATGAATGTATTCACAATTTAGACTGTAATTTGCCCTATCGTATTTAGTTTCACAGCATCTGAGAGCCTGGAGAGAGAGAGAGAGAGAGAGAAGTAGATGTAAACACATGGCGAGAGAGCTCCGTGCACTGTCTGTGCTGACACACACCCCCCTCAGACTAGGGATATCCACAGGGTAAATCCAGGCCATACAGAGCACCAGTCTGGAGGGAGAAGCTTGGTCTAGGTTGGCTGGAGCAATGGGATAGAGCAGATGGGACCCACTGATCACCTCCTGACCAGTCTGAGCAGCCCCTCAGCACGGGGGTGAGATGAGCTGCAGGCTCCTGGCACCCTGCTTGGTGCTGCCCAGAAATGAAGGATCTGAACACTCAGGGATGTACAGGGACACAGCCATGGCCGTTCCCACGAGGAAGGCCAAAAGTGCCTCACAATAGGTGTGTGTTAGGCAGCCACTGCACCCAGAGCCAGTAAAAGTGAAACTATTCTCTGTAAGCTCCTACAGTCAATGCCACACTGCACATCTGTACATTGCTTATGAGCGGGACTAAAAAATACCTGCACCATGGCACTGCACGTTTTAAAGTGTCTGTTCAATGCCTTTCCCAATCTCCAAGGATTGCCTCCTCCTTGGACTTACACATTCAGTGACTACGACGAGGCTAATTACTTTTCCCTGAAGTGATCGGTGCTCTTCTCTAGCACGGACCTCGCATTTTCAGCCTCAGAACTTTAAAAAAAAAAAAAATACACAACTTCTTTCAAATCCTGAGACAAAAATCAAATCAGTTTGGCAAACAAATTCCCCGCCATGGGCTTTACCAGGCTTTACTCTTCCATCAAAGCCCCCGCGCACGTAGAAGCCTCTTCGCCACTTTTGAGAGGGGGCTCAGTTTTTTCCTGTTACCTTTCCTTCCTGCAAAGCAATCAGGGAGAGCGGCAGGAGGCACCATCAATATGCAAATTGCCGCCAGATAACTGGTTTCGCTGGTTCCGCCCTGGGAAGCGGCTCCGCCGCCGCCGCGGGGGCACCCGGGGGCCGCTCCGCGCCCGAGCCCCGCGGGGCCCGAGCGCGGCTGGGCACGGACAGCAATGCCCGAGCCCCGCAGTTCCCCGAGCCCCGCAGTTCCCCGAGCCCCGCAGTTCCCCGAGCCCCGCCAGCTGCCCCGCACGCCTTCCCCAGCGTGCTCTTCTGCCTCTGTTTCTTTCGTAAGGGGTGTCTGAGTGATGTTCCTTCGCCCTGAAAGTGCTGGCAGTTTGATGTCTCGAGTTAGAGGATGAAGGTTTTCGTGCCTCTGTCGGCTCACCTGAGAGGTGCTCCTAGGCACGGAGGAGGGAAAAGGCTGGCTCAGACCTGAGTGGCATCGCAGACCTGCTCGGGAAAATCTGTGGATGCTCCCATGTGGATCTGTATCCAAAGCACACATCCAGGCCCTCTCTTTCCTAACTCAGTATTTAAGGGATGGGAAGGGAGCCACTGGCTTCTAATCTAAAATGAAACTATAATTCTCAGGCAAGCATTTGCAAAAGTACATGAGCCCATTTTTAAAAATCACAAAGAAACAGATCTCAGGTGGGTCCTGGGTTTGCTCTGCTGGCAGATTCAAAGCAGCACTGCTCATCACACCAACTCATTCATCAAAACCGTGAGAGTATTTTTAAAACCCCACCAAAGTAAACCATACAGCTAATTTATAAGCATTCAGATGTGCAGTAACTCTAGCACAAATATCCCCATCAGTATGGTGGTGGCCCTATATAATACAATAAGACACAATTCAGACCTGTGACTGTCTATTGAATGCATAATATGCGTTTTTAAAATTGCCTGGAAACATATTCATATTGTAAAATCTAATGGTTCAGGTGGAGCTTTTACTCTTGATCAAATAATAAAATTGTTAGAGACCACTCTGTCATCCCATTGCTCACCAGCCTCCATGAGGACTGTTTTACATTCCCGTTTAAATAGGACAGGAGAGCAAAAAAGGAAAACATAAACCACAGAAGAGTTACTACAGACATTAACTTTTAAGCTGGAAAAGCAAAAGAGCTGAGAAAGGAGCTCCATTCCGGGGGAATTGTCTTTGTCACTCTGCATCCATCGAGGTTTCCTGCAGCCAAAGCCTCTGGATGGCGGATCACATTAGGATAAGGCTGCACTCGCCAAGTCCCAGCGGCTGTCTGGGGCAAGGTGTCCTTGTTTGGCCTCCAAAATAGCTCCTTCCTGTGGATTTAGGTCTGCCAGGGAAGGGGACTGATGTGGACAGACAGACAGAGCCTGTGGACAGCCGAGACTCCCCGTGGGATGGAGTGGGTGGCAATGGCCTTGTCCGTGAAAAAGGAATCTGAAGTGCAGACTAGCGATAGTAATGGTGATTACCATTAAAGCGTGGAGCTTTTCATTACTGAAAACTTCAAATAACTCTCCTGAACTATATTTGAGACATTTTTTTTTTCATGTTAACTCCGGGTTTGATTGCTGAAAAAGGTTGACTGCTAGAAAAGGAAAACCAGTGCAGTGCACAGCAGTGGGGAATCGAAGCCCTTCTTTACCAGAACCCCTGCCATATACGTACTGTCACTCACCTTCCAGACACTCAGTACAACCATTCAATCTATTGAATCAAGAGACTGTTTGATCTTATCTGCATCTGTGAGCTGACTGTCAACCTGCTTAGGCTGCATATTAAATCATCTATAGTAGCTGTATCAAGCTGGGATGATCTGTTAATTCTAAATTTATTAACCCTTAGAGTGCAGTCATCATGTTTAATCTAGTGT